ACGATCTTACCGTGGCCTTGAGTCATCGAAGAGAGGGCTGTCTTTACCTCCTACCCGAGGTCTATCGAATATGTCCTTTGGTATAGGGGGTATCTTGTATCCACCCTTGGTAGGAGTATTGGTTTGATTACCAGTAGCCGGAGACTGCGTTCCATTATTAGCAGTAGTATTAGCGATGGCGGGTCGACGTGTGGTAGGCGTAGCTTCCCCAACTGGGAGGAAAGGCACTGTCGGGACAGGTAGCGACTCCTCTCCTAGGTAATGTTCAACATCGCGTACTGGTTGTGGTAGAGTAACATTGTCCAAGGACTTGACGAAGTCCTCAATGCCTGTGTACAATACCCTTGTCTCCTCGTCTATGTCATGGGCTAGCCAATTGTTAAGTGTCTGGTTGGCTAGCACCTCTAGCATGGCCAATAGCCCACCCAACTCATCGACCACACCAGTAATGGTAGCATTCCTCACAGAGGAGCTCACCTCATTCATCTCCTTCACGACGTTCTTGAAGGCGATAGCAAAGTCTTCCACAAGGGCCCTAGTGTCGGGTAGCTTGGAGCTTGACTCGGCAGCAAGCCGAGCTAATGATACTACTAAGTAAAGAGGTCTAACCATTGAGTAACAATAAAATATGAGGGAGTCACGGTCACGACGAGGACGACCAATGCACGATGCTCGAGTTTGATGATTCTGCGCAGAAGTTGAGGAAATGCAAGTTTGATAAGCAAGGCAAGTCCTCGACGACACCTCGCAGCTACTACCCACATACCTTCACTAAATTCACACCACTATCACTTTTTCGCTTGCCAAAGTGATGTTAATTTAGTAGATGTTCGTGGTACACCTTGCGTGGATAAATGCCTTATTTCCGCAGTCCATATAATTATCATGTCCATCGCCAACCGTGATGAGGCCAAGCGATGCCGGGATATTGGAATGAACGCTTTGAAGAGGTAATAGTGAGCTCATGAGTGCTCATCAATTATGTTTGATGATCATCAGTGGGGACCGGGATAAATGTATACGTTTTCTGGAGAAGTCCTTACGGATGTACGATGATCCTCATACTCATAGCCTCCTGGAGAAGGTAGTGGATGCATACTGAAGTTAGCGAATAATAGAGGGTAATAGGTACGGACTGATGGTAAGGACTCTAGTGATGCCGAGACCTCTACCAAGAGCTCGGATGCCTCCAAGACTACTACTGCCTCTCCTCCTGGTGTACGACATAGGAAGGGAGCTGAGCCCACCCGCAGTGGGGATAAGGCGCGGACTAATAAGGATGGGAAGTCGTAGGATAGAGCTGGTGGCTTGGCAGGTGCTGATCAGATGTGGCAGATACACTGATGACCAGAATCGTTTAGTGCAGCGTGTTCTGCGGACTCAGGATTACTATCAGATCCTACAGATAGACAAGAATGATGGATCTAATGATGTCGATGCTAAAGTGAAGAAAGCGTAGTAGTCTATTGTCCTCGGGTAATCATCCATATCGGGCTATATATAGGTATCGTAAATTGGCCCTTAAGCTCCATCCCGATAAGAATAGTGCACCAGGAGCTGAGGAAGCCTTCAAGAAGGTCTCCAAGGCATTCCAGTGTTTATCAGGTAACTATCCACTATCAAAGCATCACCATTGGAGTCTCCTGTCCTTCAGATGAAGGCAAACGTCGTACATATGATCGGACGGGTAGAGACCCCGAGCAATCAGCATCCTCTTCGGGAAGCTCTGGGCGACCAGTAGGGTAGCTACTGGTATCCTGGTGGTCTATTTTCTCTTGTAGGATGACTTCATGACAGCTCAGGATATTTTTGATGCATTCTTTGGCGTACCTCGACAGAACTCACCGGTACTTTATCCTCCTGGTTATTGAATATCACCCAATTTGTTCAGTTCTATGCTCAACATGCTCAACATCATCAACAACAATACCACCAGAACAATACCAACAGTATGCCCAGTGCTCTTTGTGCTAGTATCAGGTCCTCAGTCTCAGGTTTCAACATCCTACAGTTTTTGCCCCTAATCATGCTACTTGTTGTTACTCTGTTGGCTAACTTCAACACGAATAGTTCTTATAGCCATCAGAGGTAATGCTAATATTATATTCCTAAGTGTTCATTTCACTGGACGATGAATTGTCTCGTATGCACTGCAGACTCTGTATGTTTTATCGGACCACAGTCACATCAAAACTAACACCTTGTAACTGATGGTGAATTCTGCTGAAGGCGTGACTTCACTGAAGGCTATCACTTTTATCAGGCCCAAGTTTTCGTTCACTCCAACAAAGTCGTATACAGTCCAGGAGAGTACTCCAGACATGCATATCCAATATTATGTGCCACCTAGCCATGCTGCCAAGTACCCTGCAGGCTCTACTGAGCGACAGTAATATCATTCATTACGACTCCATATTATGGTTACTCTCTTAGGAGATTTGATACCACTGTGGAAACGTCATATGTGAATAATCTGCTGGCGGATTGTGATTTCGAGGAGCGAAGCATGGTGCGGAACATCCAGCTAGCCAAGCGCCACCGTTCAGTGGAACAATTAGAGCAAGCTAAGAATACACCCCGTCCATCATGCGATAAACTGAATCGATTGAAGGTGAGTCATGATATGATGCAATGATAGATGAGCATGTTATGGTATCAGGAGAAGTATCCTCGACAGTATAGACAGAGTGTTCAGTACTGGTATTGATTCTGCTAGCATTCTCTTCTATTATCGCATTATCCACCAAAGCTGCATCATTTGTAAATATTGCCACTTACCAGGTGTTACCTGGTCAAGATTAACACAACTGGGTTGAGTTGTTACTATCAACACAAGAGAGGTATTCACACAGAAAAGCGATGTTCATTATCAATGGACAACTTATAACCAGAAATCAATACTGTGCATCGTGTTATTACAGCCTTTAAGGAAGATAATGATATGAAGTCACAGACGATAGTACCAGTCGTTGCCCACTATTGGAACTGCTACTGGCTATTGAAGGCTGAGGGTAATGATATTACCTTTAACAGTCGAATATTAATACACTATGTAGAAAAAAGAAGACAACTATGACGAGACATCAAAAAAGTTGAAAGTACAAACAGATCCATCATAGTTGTCGTTCTCAATACCGCCGCCATCATCGACGACTTCCCTGCTGAGAGGGAAGCCGCCAACAGGTCAGACCTCAGATACTCGTATCAGTGGTAATGCACTGCAATGGAGGGATGATGATCATTGATACCATTCTGAGTGGTACCATAATGAAGATGATATCCAACACGGCAAGACCATGATGGAGATGAATATGATCTCGAAGGTGATGAGCCCGTCCAAGATGGTGATGAAGGGGTAGCAATCGAGCTAATCGAATGTCTCGGTAGCGAACCAGGTTTACTATCGAAAGCACTCAGAATACCCCTGTCACCGATGGCTGGATTAGATGTCGAGACCGTCTCGGTTCCGGTCTCGAGTTTGCGCTTGTTCTGGAAGGAAGTGGTCTCACATAGATTACCTTGAATATTATGTTCAGGATTATGGAGAATCCTCCTGACAGCATCAGAGTCACTCATAACCACAAATCCCATGTTAGGGGGCAATGTGGATGTATGAGATCGAGTCTTCCTTTGCAACAATAGAATGGTCACAACGTGACCGTAAGAAGAAAAATATTTATGAAGGACAGTAGAGACATTAGCTTTAATCAATTGGATTTTCTTAACACATACAACCTGTTCATCAGGGATGCAGGCCAACATATCTAAAATACGCCACAACGGCCAAGGACCACTACCATCATCATGATCACCAGAACCGTACTCTTCATCAACACTATCATACTTCCTGTCACTCTCCTCACCCATAGTAGGAATAGCATCAACCGGGATGGTAGTAGGAGTAGCAGTATGCTCATTATCAGTAGTAGTAGTATCAGTCAACTCACCCTTCACGACAGACGACCAAGATATAGTAAAGTTATTAACAGGCTTAGTAGTGGTCCTCGTTGAAGATGACCTCCTAGTATTAACACTAGCAGAGTGATCCTCACTTGCACCAACAGTATGAGAATAGGCAACATCATTATCAGCACTATTAGCTGTACCCCTGATAGCATCATCCTCTGCAGTATCCTGTTCCATATTAACAGGAATGATTGTAGAATCCGCCTTAACAGTGGTGGTAGTAGGGGGCGATAAAGTAATAGATGTTGACTCTAATAGTTTACGAGCGGTTAGATCTCTGAGATTCTCCCTCGTTCTGTCCAACTGTTGTTCTAGTATACCAAGATGTGTACGAAGCCCAGAATTCTCTTCTCGAACTGATCGCAACAAGGCCTCGGAATGCTGTAAGGTTTGTAATATATCACCCAAAAGGATGTTGTTGTTGGTGTCGGTAGTAGTAACCAGAGCTGCATCAGTATCACCGTCGGCATCATCGTAGAAGCTACCACCATGACGACCCATAGTTGCCACAGCGCCACCGTCTTGTCGCTCTGCTGCTACTGCTGCCACAACCTCCTTAAGAAAAAGTTCGTCGTCCTCGAAGGTCGAAATTGGAGGGTTCATCCATACACAGTTAAACTAATAATTACCACCACATTACACATCCTATTACGACCCCTAGTTATGACCATTACGAATTCTAACTATTCAAATGGTTAGATTTCCGCTAAACGACGCTTTGGTGACATCGCTCCGCTGAAAAAGCGCAGAAACGCGGAGAACCAGGTTTCACCAACTCGCCAAGCTTGGCGATTTCGGGTCCTAATGAACTCTCGCCAACACGCTCAATCATGGGATACGACCGCTTCTGGACCATATTTCACCTCTCTGGCCTCGATACCTAACGAATTTCACCGAGATGTGGCGGAAACTGGTTGAGGTAATCCGTAGTTTCGTTCGCCCAAATGATCTATCTCGTTCTGTGCGCACGGTTACAGCAACTTGGTATTGGTGTAACATGCCCGTGGCCCACATATTGCTATAAAACTTGGTGAACTTATCGGTATTCGCCAAGTACGTGTCGCAAAACGCCGATATATTGGTATAATCATTTGTTTATGAAGATTACACCATCTTTGGCGATATCCGCCTTTTATCGATCACGCTTGGTATGTTCTCGAGTCGGAGTCGAATATCGCCAGGTGATTTGTTCAAATCTGGTGTTGTGACAGGCTTTCGCCACAACTTATTCATGATTCCTGTCCGGCGAAAGCCGTATCAGGACCGTATACTGCCAAGTTGGATTTAACCGCATATAATGTCCGGTTAAATCCAGCTTGGCAGTATCAAGGGTGAATTCACTTACATCACTGAAGTGTGCCGCACACTTCAGTGACTCTGATTATGATTATCATGTGACATGATTCACAAGACATGGTTCATGTCTTGTGGTTGGGCGATAGAGCGGTCGAGTACAGGAAAGTTCGCGCGGGGGACCCAGGATCTACTCCCATGAGTTGTTAGCACACTTCGTTCACCTTTACGACTCAACACTAATAGTTATGGATTTCTTTCACAGAGATAGTATCGTCTCCTTATCCCGTCATTCGATATTGTTATTGCACATTGTACCGCACGCTACACTATCTAAACGCAAGTCGTATTAAGTATATGGAGAGCTCAAACATAGAAAAAATTTTTCACATTATCTTCACTTTGCTATCGTAGGCTTCTCGTGATACCTGATAACACTGATCGAGATGCTCCACAGAGC